AGCTTGATTCTCTGCAGCGTCTCCTAGTGGAGTGGAGGTGGCATGAGCATTGATGTATGTTACATCTTCCGGAAAAATTCCAGAATCTTTGATTGCTGCAGACATGCACCTTTGGAACAAAAAGGAAGACATTAGTTTATCGAATATGAGAAAGTTATTTCAGTCCATTGTGTGCCTCAAAATAATGAAACATGCAACACTGTAAGGATATAAAATGTCATATATGTAAATATGATTCTCTGGGATCCCATCTACTGCAATCCTGCACTGAAGATTAAGAAGATTCTCACCCAAACTAGGAAGTATGAAGAACTTCACAACACATCTGTTACAACTAAATGTTGAATTCTTAAGCTGGGTCTTTAAGACATGATTAGACACCCTTTTCTATATTATAATTTTAATTGAAAAATAATATTCCATAGTATGTATTGCCAGCTTGGTTGAAACTAGAAAATTAAGTTCTAGTGAACTGATAAATTTAATTATCTTGATTCTACAGTTGTGCTGATTGGCAGAATATTTCATCAAATGCTATGTCTCTCCTTAATTGTTATGTATCTTGGAGCTGAACAAACGGAAACAATTAACAGCAGTAAATGTAGTCTTTTTTAGGTAATGGGGAATCATTATTTTAAGAATGGATAAGATAGATTCATTTAATTTTTATGCAATAGTATCATGTAGGTACCGTATAATTCATAATTATCTCATTTACAATGAGCTAGCATGATTGTCCCATGATTATCTCCAATAATCATAATAGTATTTAAAATGGCTTTATCTGAATTTAAAACTATGTCAGTTTAATATCCTTCCCTAAAGAAAAAGCTCTGCTTTACACTTTAATACTTTCACCAAATTCTGAAAAAACAGGTATTAAGCTAACAATTAGTACACTGGGTCAGCTGTTTTTCAATTGCTTTTTAAAAATGAAACTGTTATTTTGCATAATAATAAATTTGGAAATGTAACTATGCAGTGATATAAAGCCTCAGAAGCAGGCAAATAAAGGAATAAAAATGTTCCATTGATCAATATCAAAAACATAGGAAAAAGAATAGATGTCTCAGTAATAAATGTACTAGTGCAAACCTAACTTTTATATGGAAAGACATGTTTTCAAAGTGTGATCACAAAAAAGGCTCTTTACCAGTGTATCACTTACATAATCTTACAGGAAGTCACCTTAAAGGAGGGCTGTTGGTATCCATGCCATATCTGACTTTATCCTGGGAAGATGGGTGGTCACCAGAATTTGTCATTGGGCAAATAACATGAATGCAGAGTTGCACCTGGTGACTAGTTCAAATGATTGTGAAATGGTAGCCAAGGTTAACCCAGCAAAGTAACTTTGCTTTTAGGGTAAATAGCAAGTCACAGTATCTGCTTATGACCATGGCAGTGCACCATTGTGTTTGCCAGCAGTCCCAAAGGTGCTTTTTCAAGAGGGAACTGATTACAGAAAGTCCAATTGATTCTTGAAAAAGCATATTTGGGGATAACCACTACCTGGATGACTGAGAATCTCCAGACGCTCTTTGCCAGCAGGCTCTTCACAAATGGTGACACATATATATGCACACACACACACACACTCCACCGCCGCACGCAAAATTGGTAAACAAATTTCTCAATTATCTAATGTTCCCATATAAAAGACCTCTGATCAGCCAGAAAGCAAGCTATTCCTACATTATGAAATTATACCAATGATTTATGATAATAGGTTACCTCGAAGCTCCATCTCCATTTGGATCAGGTGCTGTAATGTGGCAGGCATCAGCTGAGAGTCCATAGCCTAAAATTTCTGCATAAGGTTTGGCTTCTCTCTGGATAGCATGCATGTATTCTTCCAAAACCAAAACTGCAGCACCTTCTCCCATAACAAATCCTTCTCTTAGTGGATGGAATGGACGGCAAGCTTTTTGAGGGTTAGAGTTAAAGCTAGTGCTCAGAGCCCGAGCTCTGGCAAATCCAGCCAGAGACAATGGGCTAATACAAGCTTCTGTTCCTCCAGCCAACATCACATCAGCATCACCATGAGCTATAAATCGAAAAGAGTCTCCAATGGCATGTGTTCCAGTGGTACAAGCGGTGGACACAGCATGGTTTGGTCCTTTTAATTGATATTTGATACTAATATGACCTGCTGCCATATTGATCAAAATCTTTGGAACAAAAAATGGGCTGACCTTGTTGTAGCCTTTTGTTTTGAATGTCGAGGCTGTATCAGAGATATCTTCCAGTGGAACCATTCCCATTCCTATAGCCACACCAGCTTTCAAACTATCCTGGTCAGATTGCGGAGACCAACCAGAATCTTTTAATGCTAGATCAGCAGCGCCTATGGCCATGATGGTGGCAGAAGACATAGCTTTGCTGTCTGATTTTGTTATAAAATTTTCTCCATGGAACTGACCTTTATCAACCCCTTTTGGCACGCATGCAGCAACTTTACAAGGAACAGAAGCATATTCTTCTCCTTCAAGGGCAACAATCCCACAATTTCCTTGGAGAAGATTGTTCCAAACCAACTGGGTTCCAACACCAAGAGGAGATACTAATCCTATACCTGTGACAACAACCCTTCTTCGACCATGAATTAACCTAGTACATCTTTTATTGATATTTAGATATTGCTGTACTTGTGAACTTGGAAGGTAGAGGCTTGTAGCTCTTAATACAGTTCTCAAGTGCTGGAGAATCATCACTGTACTACTTCAGAGTTTATTCCTATGAGGGGAGGAAAATAAAATTATTATTTACAAGTTTTCACCATGGGTAAAGTTTGTATTTTTTTATAAAAGTCAAAAAATTATTAATATACCAAACATGCAAGATATATTATGTAAATTTAAGTAAAATGAAATAAATAGTTCCTATAATCTAATTTTCAAGCCTAATTGAAGAATTTATGATTGCAATTTAAAAACAATTTTCTAGTATATTCCAGAGTTATTCATAAAATTTGCAAGAAATGACTCTTTGGTCATACTAAATTCAATGTAATGTAAATTCAAAAAGTAATGCATTAAATTCAAAAATATATGCAAGGAAATTTTCAAAATTTAAAGTGTTTACTGTTATCTTTCTTGTAAAGTGTTTACTACTACCTTTCTTGTAAATGTTTGGAAGTAGAACAAAACTTTGGCTTTGTAGGAAAATAAAGTAAATAAAATAATCTGAAAAATAACTCACTATGCCATAATTTTGTTATATATACTACAATACACTTTAGCTTGGAAGCAAACAGTGTCAGGCTTGATTAGTGATTCTATGGGAAACCATCAAAGACTATCAAGCCTGGAAAATAGACTCAGAATTTTTTCAAAAGTCCTAGAAAACTGTATGGATCTATTAAAATAATTTTTAGTCAGCAACATCAAGAACACGATGCAGTAGCTAACTTCATAAGCAATTTGGTTCACATCCCTGATTTGCACTATATAGTTCTCATATGTATTCTGTTTCCTCCCCTTGGGTGTGGGGGACAATAGCCATTTCCCCTCCCCAAAAGGAAGGACAGGAGTACATAAGAGCTGGAATATGTCCATAAAGACTTTTTTATTGACTGGAATGCTATATCTCCTGCTTAAGCACAGGCTTGGACTAGAAGACTCCCAACATCTCTTCCAACCCTATTATTCTATGTTCTTTCTGTTTAACAGACTCATATAACACATAACCTGTTTTCAGAGGTCTTCTCACTGCCTACAGCATATTTGTAATATGATTCTACTCTTTAAGAAACAGAAGTATCCTCTTCAGCATATAGAAAAAGAGATCAGCTATCCAAAATCAGAGACAATCTATATCCTTACTATTGTTTTACTTTATAATCACTGACAAATCCTTACAAGTATTTTGTGCCATTACAAGTCTTTTAGTTTGGGGCCTATATACATATGATATACATTCCATTTTAATGGTATTGCATAGAAAGTCTAAGTAATCCTGTGACCCTATTGATGTTGCTGGCCTATAGTTCTGCAAAATTTGGAGAACTCCATATTTTGTCATTTCTTGTGGTAATACAATGTAGATAGATTTAATTCCAGATCACCAAAATTCAACTGTATGAGCAACAATTTACTGTACTAGAGCTAAGCTATAATGAACTTGGCAGAACTTGCAAGTTTCACTTTCAACTAATACACAATTTCTCAGATATAGAAGTAACTCCCATAAAGGTAAGCGAGATTTAACTTTACAGGAAAATAAAAATACATCATTTAGCATTTTTCTATGAATATTAATATTAAAATGCATGCTTAGGATGGCAGTGCATATGCATCCAGTTGAGGCTTGTTAGCATGCAATTATATAACTGCCTTGTCTCATTCACCAAAGGGATCTAGGTGATAGTGTTCTTTATTTATAAAACATCTTGATTTCCCTTATCTTTTTTCCTCTTATTTTCTTGAAAGAAAAAACATGGGAACAATGAGGATAAGATCCATAGTGCTTTTTAATTAAAGCTGCCAAATCTGAATTACAAAAGCCGGAAGAGCACTAGGTTACAGAAAAGTTTTCTTGTCTTCTAGTTACTGTCTGGATTCTGCAACATATATCAGGCAGACATAAAAGATACTAGCATTACCAAAAATAAATTACTCGAAAGCGTTATAGGGTTACCATATCTGGAGATGTGAAATCCAGACTACACTAATTGGCAACAAAGAAGTGTTATTTTGCGGTCAGTGCCATTCAGTAGCTCGGATTTCTGTTGCCCAGCGTCGGCAAACCTTCAAGAAGTCGACAAGTAAGGTTCGGGAAATCTATCAGGCGGTGTGGATGTGACAATGTAGCTGTTGCGCGTGCTCATAACGGAGGGGAAGCGGTCCTATTACACGAATGAAGGCGTCATTGCCATCCTTTTCTGAGTCACTATAGTCGGCGCCCCATTTAGACGCATGATAGTCTGAGTCAGCAAGATTTAGAATTGAATGCGGGCGCGGGCGCCGCGAAAAATAAGTTTCTGTTTTCTCTCTCTCTCTCAGACTAACAGTAGGCAAATGCCATTGCACTGGGATAGTGGCCGCGGTGGAATGTGCCACTACAGCGCTCTCGCGAGCATTAAGTGACCTGTCCCAGAATTCTAGAGAAACGTTTTTAGAGGCCTCGGGGTTGCTGCTCAGGTGAGAAGAACGGACGGGCCCGCCAAACAGGAGGTTTTTCCGTGAAGGTCGTCGGGATGGGACTTCCCTGGGTATATGTTAAAAAAAGAAAACGGTTCTGAATCGGGGGCGTAACAGTTGTTTTTAGTGTCGCGGGCGGGTTACTAGTTGAGAAATTCAGTTGCACAATTTCCTGTTTTTGTGCTCGTTCAATTGCAAATTAAACTATCCTGCATCTGTTTAAGGAGAAAGAAGTCACCATTAAGATCTGCATTGTATACAATACAGCACTGCTGAGGCATTACTAGTTTATCTGTACATTTGTTCAGCGTACTACGAAGCTGCATTCCAGCAACTCCCATTATATTGTGGAAAAGACTAATCTCTTATAGTAGCTTCTTTCTGCCAGGTAGATGAATTTAAAACAAAGATGCACCCTGCTATTTGTTCTGTCCAGGCATACACAAATTTGAGAGCTGGGGAGAACCTCTGGGTAGGCGCTGAATGCATATTCTCTCCACAAATAATGTTTGTGTTTCAGATTGAAGAGCAAAGTGGTTTAGTATAATTGGAGTTGCAATAGAATTCATTTTAAAAATTAAGCATGTAAAGCTAACTTGGGAGCTGTAATATCACAATAGAAAAACAAGAAAGAAATGCAGCTACCTGGAACACATTAACGAGCAGGTTAAAATTACAGGATAAGATTGGAATAATATGCCCCTGGGCATTTGGGGCAGCTCCCTTGTTGGTTAGAAATTACATTATTAAATTACATTGATGGCCAATGCATCAGGTGTACCAGATTTGGAAAGGGTATTGTTAAAACGTGTGAGTCTCAAAATATATTAAAAATAAAACTATCAAGTTCCAAAGAACCAAATGAAATTGGTTCAATACTCATTATCATCCAAATTTCTGAACTGTTTGATTACATAAGGAATACTTTTTACATTACTCCCTTCTAGTTTTGTGTAGCACAAAACATATTTGAATGGGTTAACATTGAGAATTCCAATTAATTCTTAGGGTTAGAATAAGTTCTGGTTAAGAAGCATTAAAAGAAATCTAATTACTGGCAAAATAGTCTCACTAAAATCCAAAGCTTTGAGGATTGCCTTATTTATACCTGTTATGGACAGAAATGGGAGAGATGAACACATTTTGGAGGAGGAATGTAATAGCTGTTACTGCAGGAAAAGCAGAAAGAATAAATTTATTATATAAACAGTACAGGAGTCTAGCCTACATTAAAAAGTCAGGCTGAGGAAGTCTTCTAAAAGCAAATGCATTTTTGGAGAAGCGTGAATCAGTATTAAACTATTTAGAATTTTAAAAGAAGCACAAGAGGATTAAACTATGTCCATAAATGTCTTGCCAGGCTATGTAATTATTTAGAAAATGGTAGCAGTGTCCTCTTTGAATGGTTCAACCCTTATTATTTTGATCTAACTGAATTTTTAGATACTTTTCTCAAAGTTTCATTAAATGTCTATAAATGAGCAAAAGAAGATAATTATGATTTCAGAAAAACAAATATTTATTATTCAGGTTTATATACCATTTATATTACAACTGGGTCCTAAGCATACAATCCAATTCCATAAACAGATTTCAATGGCAACTGCAACAGTAACTGTTATAAAACACAAACCATACTTTAAGAATTACATTCCAAAATTATCTAACTTTCAGTTATACAGTGACATCTCATGATTCATATCATTTCCCAAAGGCTTTCTGGAATAGTATGGGGTGTTTTTTAATCTTCCCCTAGTTGAACAGTGACAGATGTATTGTAACAACAATAGCTTCCTCTTTGGAAAACAGGTCCAAAACTAAATGTTTACATCTATTTGCAAATCCAATTTGACCTGTTATACATTGCATATACAAAGAAAAAATAGTTAACAGGTTAAATCAGCAGTCCCCAACCTTTCCGGCTCTTCCAGCAGTGAGGTGGTGGTGGATGATTTGGCAGCTTGCTTGCTGCTTATACAGCCTGATTCTCAATTGGCTGTGGACCGGGAGTTAAGGACCCCCCAAGTTAAACAACAGCAAAGTTCAAAGTCTTCTGTTAACATTGTAGAAAGTCTACAATGATTTCTTTTTTTTAATAATAAATCTTATTAATGAACAACAAAAAGATAAACATTTAAAAACAATGAACGTGGTGCATACATCCCGACACACAACGTTACCTATTTGTCTTAAATCCTCGTATAATACATATAGCAAAAAATAAAAATTTACATATATACATAAATATTAATCATTGTTAATACATTTACTGCTTTCTTTTTTAAACCAGTAGTAAAACTTCTTCCAAATTTTGTAGTAATCAGATTCAGTCTTATCTTTTCTTGGGTTACTCTATCTATTTCAGTGCACGTCCAAATTTTTCTAGTTATTTCTATGTCTTCTGGCATATCATTACCTTTCCATCTTTGGGTAAGGGCTAATCTCACAGTAGTGGTGACATGGACTATTAAGTATATTATCTCTTTATTATATTTTCCCACATTGATTACCAATAGAAAAATTTCAGGTCTAAATTCTGTTTTAATTTTACATATCTCTTCTAACTGATTTCTAATTTTCAACCAATATGTTTGAACTTTTTCACATTTCCACCGTACATGGTAGTATGTTCCAGTTTCTTTGTTGCATTTCCAACATTTAGGGGATAATTTAGTATACATTCTTGCCAATTTTGATGGTGGAATGTGCCATCGATAAAACATTTTGTGTAAGTCGCCAAGGTTATTTTTCTATTCCTGTCCCATAAAATTTGCCGATCATCCAAATTTATACCATATCCAAAATCTTTCATCCAGGCCAACATTGTTTTTTTCACCTTTTCTTCTTCCAGTTTGCATTCTAATAATATTTTGTAAGTTTGTTTAATCAATTTCTCATCCATTCCTAATATTTTATCCAATTCTATTTTCCATCTACTAATACCCCATTCTTTCATATCTTTACTATACCTCAACTGTAATTGTAAACAGGCCCATCATTCTATCTCAAATCTCAAATCTTTCAACTCCTGTCTTGTTTTTAAGTCACCCTTCTCATCTAATATGTCCTCATATGTAATGACCTGACCTCGACGCAATAAATTTGAGTACATTAACGCTTCTAATATAGATAGCCAAGTTGGTATTTCAGCATAGATATGCGTTTAGTTTTATTCCATGCATTTAGTAAGGTCTGCCTAATTTTATGCCTTTGAAAGTAACCATGAATTTGATGTTTGTCCTGTCACAAAAAGGCATGCCACCCTGCCTGTAAGTTATATCCTTCTAATGTTAATATTCTTTTATTTTTAACACTTATCCAATATTTAACCCAAGTCAGAGTATCCACTCTATGATATATTTCCCAATTCAGTAGGTCAAATCCTCCAATATTTTCTTAATAATTTCTTCCTGTAATGGTATTTTCTCATTTTTCCAATTTTTAGCAAATACAATCCTAGCCGCTGTTAATATATTTACAATCAGATATTTCAAATCTTTACTGTATGTATCAGGTAAGATTCCCAATAAAAAGATCTCTGGTTTCAAATCTATGTGTTTCTTTGTCATTTTTTCCAACCACATGCGAATTTTTTGCATGGATAAATTGCATAAATTTTGCATAAATTGTTTCTTACTTGGATGGTGTTCTCTCCATGCATCATAAATCTTAGCTTCTTTTGCCAAATCATGAAAATTTTTCGTTAATACCTTTTTCCTTATTATTTTCTTATTTTCAGCTTTATAGTCCATTGTTTTATATATAATTGCATTAAAATCACCTAAGATACAAATCTCTTCGTAATGTATTTTCCTTAATATTATTATACAATTTTTGAAAGAAGTGTTCTTGTGGACCATTCGGAGCATAAATTTCTATCAAAAGAATCTTTTTATTCTCAAACTCTATCTTTACCATCAATATCCTACCATCTTTATCTTTAAAAATTTCTTTAGCCAAGATCCAATCTTTTATGTATAACACCACCCCTCTTTTCTTTTGCTTATCTAATGACATAAAAGCATTTCCTAATTTTCTGTTATATAGCAGGTATTTTTATTTCTCTTTTATATGCACCTTTTATATGGCTATTATATCTGCATTCAATTTTTGTAGGTTATGAAATATTTTCTTCCTTTTCGCTGGAGAGTTTAAGCCATTAATGTTCATTGAAATTACCTCACATTTCTCTCTCTTTTTATTAATTTCTTTGTCTTGTACTTGTTGCTCTCATTTCCCTAGATTCTGCATATTGTCTTTCATATATTTCTGCCTTTCTTCTTCCATATCTTTTCTCCTTATTATCTGGTGAGTTTTCATCCTTGTTTGCTGCCTCTGTCCTCTTTCCTCTGCCGAGTCTTTCCTTCCTTCCACTTCTTCCACTACTGTCTCTCCTTCATTAGCAAATTGTTGGTCCTAAAAAACTTCCGCTTTGTCAATTGTGTTTAGTCGATATCTCTTCTCCTGCCAATTGACCATAATTCCTTCCGGCATCAATCATCTAAAACTGATATTATATTTTATAAGTTTCATTGTCAGAAAGTGGTAAGGTCTCCTTAAGTCCCTTACTCTTCTCGGCACCTGTTTAAGGACAGTTATCTGCTTTCCGCTATGTTCTACTGGCTTGTCTCTCGTTCTGTGCAATATTTCATCATGAGTCGACTTAATCAATTGGACATGAACTTCTCTAGGAAGATTATGCCTTCTTGCATAATTTGTCTGTACTCCGTACGTCTCATCTATTTCCATCACAATTTCTTATTTTTCAGTTCTTACTATTTTCACAATTATCTCACCCGTTACATCCGGCAAATCTTCCTATTTTTCCTTCTTAGTATTTTGGAACCTCAGGTAATGGTCTGCTTTTTCTGCTTCCAGAAGGATTACCGTAGATTCCAGATCTTTATTTGCTTGTATCAACTTATCAGTTGATACCTACCTTTTTCTCCTCTTTATCCATTCTAAATTCTGTTTCCGCTATTTTTTCTTGTTTTTCCAC